GTGAATTGGTAACATTGATTTCAATAGATTAAAATTTTGATTTTGTTGCAGAATAATCCGATTATCAATTTCGATTACGCCCATAGGATTTTTGAATTTTAATCGATTTTAATCCCTAAAATTTTTCACTGGGCTGTGTCGGTGTGATCTAAGTGTTGCTTATGAAATTGCTGTTGATGCTCGTGGTGTTCATGGATTGGAGTGAATGTGGTCGGATATTTTAGAATATGTGTTATCGTGTGCTCACCAGTGACACTAACAATCACGATCCCATGCATATTTTTTCGAATCGAAATGAGGTTCGTTCAGTATACAACACGAAAATGTTAAGATCTTCTCAGCAAGGATTCTTTAGGGTGGGTGTGGGTGTGGGTGGGTGTGGATGAGGCGTTCTATCATCATCAATACTCACACCCACACCCACACCCACACCCACACACCCACACCCACACCCACACCCACACACCCACACCCACACCACACCCAAACCCACACCCGACACCACCACACCCACACCCCGAACTTCTGAGCTACTACTGCCGGCTGCTAAAACACCGATCGCGGCTTGGTATTGAGGAGCAGCATAGGCCATTACGATAAAATCAACAAAAGTGACGATGATCAAGATCTTCATAATACTAGCCATACTTGTTGGATGTAATAAATATCGATGAATACGTTAGATTAGCTTAATATCTTTGAAATGGGATTAGAGATTTGATTTAACGTTAAGGTGTGTGTATTTATATACTAGATCTAGTTTTCAACTGATTCATCGTAACGATAAATATAACCTTCGTATGTCAGGCATGACATTCGAGAATAAAAAATAGTTATGAATATATTATTCATCATATGCGTTGTAAACGAGCAAAAATAGAGTGTCTACGTCATTGTATTCTCCATCCTCAAATATTATACAGGTAGTAAAAATTTCTTCTTTCTATTCAATCCTATGCAGTACGATACATAATTGGTTTATGACTCATCTCTCGATATCTATTCATGGCTCTTTATCTCTAATGTAATATTATGAGTTAGTAAGGATGATATTGACAGCATAAATTTTGTTTAATTTTTCTTAGTACGGAGAAAGAATCAAGTGAAAAAGTCTTTCAAAGCTAGTGAGAAATCATCTATTCATCACTTTGTTTTTGGCAAATATATTCTCAACTAGAACTTTTAATATTTTTGTTATTAATCGAGGATACATTTATCCTTTGCCGATATTTCTCGTGTTAGTAAATTCGTAAAACAATTTCTGATCAATAAAAACAGCATATTTTACTACACACAATTAGTTACGTCAAAAATTTTGTCCATATTAACATAATTCTCATCATACTGTAATAACACAATAATAATTCTATTACGAATTGTATTTATTACAGCTGAATTCTGACTTTCTTGCAGAACTGTTGTTCATTGTATACACATAGTCGTACAGAATTAAATTTTGAGTATAATTTCAAAATTTACATCTTTCATATTTAACAGTTTATTGCAATCAATCATAACAATTTTTTGTTCATTATCATGCATTGAAATATAACCATTAAAAAGGTTTCTATATTCGTAAATTTTTCCATTATGATTATGTTTATTTTTTTCATGAAAAGTAACATAATAATTTGAATCATGTTGATGTTTCGCATACAGAGAAAATTATCAATTCGAGTAATATAATTTTTTTTTGTCACGAAAAAGAAAAAAACATTATTATATGAGTACTGATAATCTTTTTCATGAAGAAAAGAATATTAACTTGAACTATGACAGTATTCCTTATAAATGCATTGTTCGAGAAAAGAACTCGATAAAAAATAAATTTACCAATGAGAGACAAGAAAGTATTGCATTAGATAGAGCGGTGTCGAAGCCGATTTCTATACGCTATTCTCATATATCAATCCGTATTAGTAGAAGAAAATTTCAAAAAATATCGCTCTACATTAAGCTAGTAAACCTAATTCTTCCGTTGAATGGAGAAAGATTTTCACATGAAATTTTTGGGATATTACTCCATTATATGAATTCAAAATAGTGAACAATATTTTTGGGAAATGAAACAGTTTTCATTAAGTCATAGAAATAACAAAGTTTAACAAGTTGCTCTACATCCAACGTGAAAAAACACATTATCTGAAAGTGCTTGGAAAGTTCTACAACGCAAGATAAAAAGAATACTTTAAAAGAAACACAATGGAATAAAAATGATATTGGTTGAGTTCAGAAAGTAGATGCAAACTTCATTCTTTCAGAATTGCATGATCACCTTGAGATCAGTAAAACAAAAAAAATGCTCATTAAAACCAGTTCAATGGAACTCGACTTATGGAAATGTTTATTTTCGAGTCACAATGCTACAATCTTTGTGCTCTCTGCGCATATATTTGACATTCTTAATATTGAGGATTCGGAGCCAAATAAGGTCTTTCAAAAATGTTGAAAAATTATAAGGCTTTTTCTGAATCTTCCTCACCGGTTTCAGCTAGTTAACCTGTGATCAGTTAGAAAATCAGTTAGTTACAAGTAATTCATCGTATTGAATCGAATAGTGATAATAATTGTTTTTATGTTCGAAACGGCGTAGTACTTTTATCTCAATATTTTCGAAATCTCGACTCATTCGTTACCTAGAGGCAGATGAATCTGAAAATAAGGGTGTGGATCTGGGTGTTGGATGAGGAGCAGGGGTCAGTATTTTTTTTATCCACACTCACATCACCTCAAAATGCATCAAATCAGGTAAAGAAAGGAAAAACAACTAACAAGTTTTACACGACCATACAAAATATCATTCCCAATGAAAAAGTGTCGGTTCTAGTCCCGATTTCGGTCAAAAACGAAAAATTCATCTTGCTCATATCTTCATACTTTTCATATTAAATAGATTTTTACTTCCGTCGATTTCTACGTTATTTGACTCTTCTAAGTATCAGTAAAAGTGTAGATTTTTGTCAGCAGAAAAGATAAGTTTTGCTAGTATAGAAACCACTTTAATAAAAAAGAAGCTACATATTAAATATGAAATTCAAAGAATGAATGAAAAAACAGACAATGAAAGTTCGATTATTGTACTAGCAAAGCAGATTTAGTCTTTTTTGGTCTATCTCGTTTGTGAAAACACAACCTACAAGGAGTGTTGGACTGTAAAGAATAGAACTTTGTTATTGTATTTCTCGAAGATTAAGCAACAGAGGATGAAGAAATGTTATGATTGATATGTGGTTGAAAGTATTGATAAGATACTGCCTATATGTCTTAATTTATGTTTCGTAAAAAATAAGATCATTAATGAGATGGGTTTTTATTTTAATGACGGCAGTCAATGGATATAAGGTGAGTTTTATTGTCTCGGTTAAAAAAAAACAAAGTAAAAATAGTTACTAAGAGAAACTATACTGCTGTTTTCTATTCGGTGTTCTTTATCAATTCAAATGGTATTGTTGTTGGACGAGCAGGAAATAATTCATAAGCATCGTCAATAGACATATCCGACTCAATTGCTGTTCGATCGTCAGCTAAAGCCATCAATTCATAGATATGACAATTTTCTTGAGGTACATGTAATTTTTGCAAGGTTTCTTTGATAATTGTTGCTGCCAAAGTTTCATTAGAGCATGGCAAGACAACTGTTTGATCACCATATCTGACAGAACTGTTTTTTGATGCTGTTGAAATTAATTGAAATTGAAACTGACTCATCGTTGAATCAATATCATCTAGAGAAACTTCTTCATCATCAAGTAAACAATCAACTTGCATCAATCGATAATAATTTCTATTTAAACCGAACAATTGACAAGCAATGAAAGATAAACGTTTGACTGTAATTGTCAATGAACAATAAAATTTGATCGATTGTTGGTCTTCCATATTTACAATGATCACTGTAATCGGTAAATTACCATTAATTAAAGTAAATCGAATAGGTGATATAGATGAAAAACAAATTAACTGAGTTTCTATTGATGCAACGAAATCTTCTGAATATAAAAGATTTTGATGATCAATATCAATTTGATTTTCTCTGCAAATATCACCAATCGTAGCAAAAATAGTAAATCGTTGATGAATCTCTTTGTTTTCATCATCAATATCAATCAATTGACTAGTTTTAGGTTTTTCAATTGATACAAGACATGTCTCATATTCTTTGACGAGAATAAATTTCGTATCAATCAAATTCGAAAGTTTTTCATTATAATCAAGAATTTTCTTCGAATAATTCGAAGCTAAATATTTGTAAATATCAATTGAAGCTTGTGTCAATTGAAATATATGTTCTATAGTTGTATTTCTATTTGATAAGAGTATTTGTAATGGTTGTTGATTATTATATTTCAATATTTGAATTGCAATTGATATACGAAAATGAATTGGTTCATTATTAGTATTTAAAAAATTTCAAATAGGTTGTCGAATATCATCTTGAGATAAAATACGTTCATTAATTTCTCCCAAAACAAGAACACAATCATTTGGAGATATATCAATAAGATGTAATTGTCTTAGAAGACGTTCATTATTTAATACATGACAGATTCTCATTGATTTTAATGCATATATCAATACACTATTATTTTCATAGGAGAAAGTTACATTAGTTGTAATATCTCGACTAATTCCATCGATGATTGCCGATTTTGTTTGTTCTATTGTTGAACATATTGATTGATTTTCATCGATAATTGTTTTTTGTTCTTTATCAAAAAATGCAAATTCTTTGACAGGAGAATCAATCAATTGAATAAAATTTTTCAACCATTGTTCAATTTGTTGCCATTTTGTTGTTGGATGAAATAAACTTGTGTGTTCTGTATCTATATATATATATGAATAAGAATAAGTTAAAGAATAGAATTTATAAGACATATTTCAACTGCCCTACTTTTTCGAATATCTTGCGGTATAGGGTGCTGCCCAAAGACAGTTTAAATAGTCCAATATTTTCCCTTAAATTATTACTAGCTGTAGTCATGGACAAAAAGGCTGGCTTGGCTCGGAGTGCTTCTGTTTAATTACTTAAGCTCTACGTACATACTGACTGGCCAGGGCTCTCAATTGTTTTCAAGAGTGCCGGGGGCTAATCATTTTTCGCAGACACTACTGACAAATTTTCCCAGACAGTTATCTCCATCAAAATTTTCGACGTGCAACTAAATGTAGTTTTTTATTAGTATCCGCGAGCGAACATTTGCTTCTATTTTTGGTCTCAGAAAACTTTTTGAAATTATTTTTTAAGCTTAAATTCTATCATATCATTAAACAGTGACGATTATATGACGTAATGTCTGCCAGATCCGCCAAACAATCCATATTATGTAACAAATTTGGTAGACACTCTGCACTATCTGCTCTGCTAAATTTGACAGACAATCTGCATTACCCACCAAATTTGATAGATATTCTGCACTGTCTGCCAGACTCGGCAGACAGTCGATATTCTCTGCAGGATTTGACAGATATATTGCGCTTTCTGACAGATTTGCCAGATAGAAGTGCTACTAAAAATTTCGCAGACAGATAGCAAAAAAATTACCACAGACACGCTAAAAAAGTGTCGGGGGCTAGACCCCGGCACATCGAGAGGCCTGTGACTGACCATATACTATCTGCAAGGGCTTTGATGTGTATGTCCACTACGTAGTCAATTTGCTACTAGACGGATGATTCTAGACAAAAAGCTGTTAATAACTTCATTCTATGTCTGATGACGTCGAGATCCGAACAGAACATCTTGTGAATATGTGCCAAACATTTTAACCACTAGGAAATATTGTACTCGTACTTAATTGAATTACCGTAAAAAATTCTAAAAAATATCTAATTGTATGCTTACTTTGTTTAGTTCGTAAAGTGACTTCGCATAGCATACTCGTTTGGTTATCTTCTTGTGTAACTGTAATCGAAATTGTTTTATTGTCAAGATGATCTATTTGATTAGTTACATCAGCAATGGTTCTATCGTCGATGCTTTTTCCATGTTGATCGAAGAAACAGAGATAAATATTATTTGATGAGAGTTTAATGTTATTATCATTGATAAAACGATTAATGATTATAGAAATATTACTTTTCGATGTGGCGAAATATTCGAATAGTTTTCTTTGATAATTAAATTGAATTGAAAATAATAAAATCTTTTCAATAATAAAATATTCAAGAGATATTTCATATTGTAATTGAATATTTCGATTTGTAAAATCGATAAAAATTTCGTTCTTATCAACAACAACAAATGTATTAATATCGTATTTTTCTTTATCAAAGAGATTACGTAATTTTTCAAATAAATTTTCACTTTTCCACAAGTAAGTATGTACTTTTCCATCTGGATGAGTGATGACGAATCTTTGTGCTTTAGTCACAGGTATGACTTGTGTTTGTACTTCTTGACATTGTTTATGAATTTCCTCAAATAAATTTGATAATGTTAAAGGAACAAATTTAATATGTAATTCAAATAGAGATGAATATTCTAAATGTTCTTCGATTGTTGAATTTTGTGGTTGTCGAGACAAATCATCATGATCAAGTAAATTATCTATATTTGGATAATTAGTCGTTTCATGAAGAACTTCTGACCAAATATCATTATCATTTGAATAAGTTATATTTTGTGATGTTTCATTCGATATTGATGGTTCATTGAGAAAATCAAGAAAACGATTTACTTGTTTTTCTTGTTCATCGAAAGATTTAATATTAAAATTTTCATTCCATTGTTTAGTTTGTTTTTCTTCAATATTAACAATTCGTTCTTGAAGTATTGTTCTCATACGAATTAAATGAATACTTACANACCACAATACAATAGCCCTTGAGGACCTACGGGTACTCGCATGGAATTGTCCTTGAGGACCCAGAGATACCCCCATAGGATAGCCCTTGAGGACCTATGGGTATCGCCATATATTGGATATAGAGGACCTGTGAGTACTTTCATATAGTAGCCCTTGAGGACCCATGAGTGCCCGCATATATCACAGCCCTTACAGCCTTCCCATTATAGCCTTATCTGACCTCTGACCTTTGACCTTTAACCCAACTTCTTACGCAACCGTAAAACCCTTCGCGAATGTTCCAGAAAGTTCTAGAACATTCTGGAAACTTATAGAAGTACACAACATTTTCGAACGTTCTAGAAAATTCTAGAATTCTTAACCTTTCAACTTTGACCCGGCACAGAGAAACACACACTGAACATTATATATAGATAAGACGTTATTTATTTATACGATCTATGACTATCACCGTCTGTAAGGAAGTACGTCAGAATTTCTATTCTATACAATTTCAATACCTTTATTTTTGTTATGTTTCAGAAAATTTCGAGTTACAATAGTTCTTATAAATCTTTAATTATTCTAAAAAGAATTACCTGAGTATACGCATAACAATATCTCCTTCATCGTAATTTGCTGTTGTAACTAAATAATGTATGGGTGTTTGACGTGTAATTTTAGTGAAGCGTTGAGTTTGATCACAAGCACCTGGTCGAATGAGACCATCAGTAAAACTATGATAGGCATTGACAGCTTCGATTCCCTTATCAATAATCAACGAATAATTATTATTTCTATGATAATATTGAAATTGATGTGGTTCATTGTAATGTTTTTGACCTCGATTATATAATTCTTCTAATGTTATTTTATGAAATTCATCTTGTTCAATTAATTGAGTATAAGTCTGATGTAGAAGAAGATAAAATTGACTAAGATCATAAATCCATTTCATTATCTTGAGAAAATCCATTGAATCAAGTACATGTCGTAAGATTTTTAATGGTAATTCTGAATGAATAGGATTATGTAATTCGGTTTTAAAATGTAGAAATTGAATGGTAATTGGCATTTGATTTATAAAATCTTGTAGATTTGTTTGAATTTGTGATTGTAAATTTAATTGATTAACATAGGCTTTATATTCTATTAATTTTTCATGAACAAAATAGAAAACTTGATTTTGATATGCTTGTTCAGCTTTTAATTCATCATTCAAAGTATGAAAAATAGGTTTAATCCAAGAATTTTCTGCTTGTTGATGATTAATAGTTAGAAAAGCCATTTGTTCTAAGCAACGATTTAATAGAATACATGCATCATCTTGATTCGAACGAATTGATAGAAAATTGAATGTTGATAGTAATCGAGCACGAACAAAATGACACACTTTTGTGCGATCATTGTTACCTGCAAGACGACATACAGCTGTATCATCAGCAACTGCATGTGTTGCTAATATGGGACCGTGTAGATTTTGAACAGATTCGTTAAATAATAATAAATGCCAAGCCTAGATGACAATAGATAACAAATAATATATCTAATATGAACAATAACTTACTAAAGCACCAAATGTTGAAAAATAAGCAACATAAACAGCTGGTACATTGAGTGCACTTGCATGTGTTCTTTCGAATTGCATTAAATCTCCATTTTGTGTTATAATACAACCACAATCATAATGTACACCATTGCTTTGAATGACTTGATGTGCTGTTGATCCAAAACCTAATATAAAAAAAATAAATAGAAAGTATGTTTTTGAGCAAAAAATCTCCTCAAAATTTGTTTTGTTTTCTTTATAAAATGCTTATAAATGAGTAAAAACTTTAGATTTAATAATATTTATAAATAGTTACCAAATGTATTCTGTAGTGTCAATGGATGGAATGCAAATGTCCATAGGAATGATTGTTTTCCACCCATAAGAATAATAGCCATGAGATTAACAAGTGAATGACGAATACATAATTCATCTTCATCTTGACAATTAATTGTAAATAAACTATTAAGAAAATTTTTTTCAACATTATCATTTCCTCCTCTTGGATATCCAATCATAAATTGTTCAGGTTGCAAAATAACACGAAATACTTTTAATTCTTCTGGTAATAGTTCTAATGTATTTTCGATAAATTCTAATAGTGTATTAAGAGATGTCAATTGATTATTACAATAATAATCATAATAGATATTTAATAATAACATTACTTTTATTTCTTTTAAATTCAAATCTGATGGATTCATATTTCGTTTTAATTCAATCCAATCTAATAGATTTTTCCATCGTTGTTCATCAAGATTTTCTTTGACACAATTCTTTAAAATATGTTTAAGTTGTTCATATGATTGATGTAATGTTGGAAATATTGATGAAGTATTATTTGTTGATGATGTAAATTGTATTTGATGACATAATTGAAGATATTTATTATTTTGTATTGTTTGTTTCATTCCTAATAGATGAGATAGAGTATTTGCCCATTGATTATTAAGACGTTGTATATGATCTGATTTCAATAAATTGAAAAGAAAATTCCATGATCGTTTAGATATAATAGTTGAGAGAAATATTTCAAGATATTGATTAAGTTGAATTGTTTCTCTATCAACAGATAAGTATGTATTAATGATTGCTAATGTAATGCGACTAATTATTCGTTGATCATCAGGAGATATATCTGTTTGACATAATAATAAAGCAGTTAATCGTAATAGAAAATAATCTTTTAATTTTTTGAATATTTCAGCAGCCGATTTTGGATGTTTTATTCTCATATTTTGTAACTTTGATTGCATAATTTTATTTACTAATTCACATTTGATTATTTCATCATTGAAATATCGTTGAAGATGAAAAAAGAATAAATCAATTAATGGTTGTCGTTGATTATCATTAGTAAGTATTGATGGATGATATGGTAATTGATAATTTTCAAGATGATTATCATCTTCTAGACATTCAATAATCAATGGTAAAAGTATAATAAGACGTTCCCAACAATCGAATATTATTCTATTATGTCGTATAGATTCAACATATAAATTAGCTAATTTATCAAATAAAAGTTGTTTCATAGGCAATGATAATCGATATGTTGATTGATTTAAACCTTTAAAAAGATTTTCAATTTCTTCTTTACATGATTCTGTAGATGATTTTAACATTGAAATTATCCATTGTTGTATATCAATCATTAATGTTGAATTATTAATATTTTTATTTTCGAAATATTGTTCAATAGAATCAATTATCTTCGGTAATAATTTTAAATAAAGAGATTTTCCTTGATTTCTATGTAGAATATTATTATTAATATGAATAAAATGTATGTCTTTCAATAGATTTGATACAAGTTCTTTTGCTTGNTTGCCATAAGATTTACAAGCTTATGACGTAAAGATAAATCGCACTCATCATTACAATCAAGTTTGAACAAATCATTAAGGAAATTCTTATCAGCAGTATTATTATCTCTTGCATATCCAATCATAAATTGTTCAGGGCTTATGAAAACACGAAATAATCGTAATTCTTCAGATGATAATTGTATAGTATTTTGAATCATTTCTAATAGTGTATTTATGGACGATAATTGATTATTACAATAATATTCATAATAAATAATCAATAATAGCATTACTTTAATTTCTTTTAGCTGTAATTGAACTGGATCAGCATTGATTTTTGATTGAATCCAATCAGAAAAAGGTTCCCATGAATTTTCTTCATTATTACTTTTAACACAAATATCAATAATTTTTCTTAAATCTTCATATGGTTGATGAAGTTCAGGAAATATTGACGACTCTTTGTTTGGAGATATTGTAAATTGAATTTGATGGCACAACTGTAAATATTTATTTTGTCTTTGTGTTTGCTTTAATTCAAGTAAACGATATAAATTTGCTGCCCATTGATTATTTAAACGTTTAATATGGTCTGAATTTAACAAATGTAAAAGATAATTCCATGATCGTTTCAATATGATTGTAGATAGAAAAAGTTGAAGATAATTATTAAACTTTGTTGCTTGGTCATCTGTTAATAAAAATTCTGTTATGATAGTTGACATGATACGATCAAATTCATTTAATTCATTATGATTCAAGTTTATGTCACATAGCAAGAAAGCAAGCATTCTTACTCGAAGATAATCTTTCAGTTGTTTGAAAAGATTTTCTCCTATTGGTTTTAAACGCTGATTTTGAATTATTGGTACTTTCAATAGCATTCCCTTATTAATAAGAGACGTTGTAATATTCTCATTAGTTATCTGACGTCTAAGATGAAAGAAAAACAAATCAAATAATACTTGTCTTATTTGTATGTCATTTTCATCATCAGAAAATATTGATCGATGATAAGGTATTTTATAATTTTCAATAAGATTAACATTTGATACACATTCAAGTAATTGTGGAATCATTTTAAATCTATCCCATATATCAAAATTTTGTTTATTTCTATCTTCAATTTGAAGAAGTATGTTAATTAATTCATCGAATAAAAATTGTTTCATTGCAATAGAGAATGAACAAGTTGATGTATCGATATATTTTAACAGAAAATAAATATCTTCTTTAGGTAATTGTTTTATTGATTTTAAGATAGTTATTGTCCATTGTTGAAGATCGATAAATAATGTTGAATTGGCAATATTCTTATTTTTTAAATATTGATCAATGATATCTGTCATATTTGGTAATAGTCTTAAACAAACAGATTCTCGATTCCTGTTTGTTTCTGTAAGTAAAATTGATATTAATTTATGTGGTTCATGTATTGTATCATTTAAAAATATCAAATAAGCTAAATTCATAAATTCAATTTGATTTTTAATACTATATAATTGTGTACTACGTAAAACTTTTTCAGATGGATAATATTTTGAAATAAATGTATAAGCACATAACCATGTATCATGATTTTGATTATTNTCGTTAAATAATAATAAATGCCAAGCCTAGATGACAATAAATAACAAATGATATATCTAATATGAACAATAACTTACTAAAGCACCAAATGTTGAGAAATTTGCAACATAAACAGCTGGTACATTGAGTGCACTTGTATGTGTTCGCTCGAATTGCATTAAATCTCCATTTTGTGTTATAATACAACCACAATCATAATGTACACCATTGCTTTGAATGATTTGATGTGCTGTTGATCCAAAACCTAATATCAGAAACAAATAATCTCAATAGAACAAATTTTTAATAAAAAAGAAAAAAATCTCCTAAAAATATTTTTTTTTTGTTCTTTATAAAATGATTGTAAATGAGTAAAAAGTCTATAAATAGTTACCAAATGTATTCTGTAATGTCAATGGATGAAATGCAAATGTCCATAGGAATGATTGTTTTCCACCCATAAGAATCATAGCCATGAGATTAACAAGTGAATGACGAATACATAATTCATCTTCATCTTGACAATTAATTGTGAATAAATTATTAAGAAAATTTTTTTCAACATTATCATTTTCTCTTGGATATCCAATCATAAACTGTTCAGGTTGCAAAATAACACGAAATACTCTTAATTCTTCTTGTAATGGTTCTAATTTATTTTCGATAAATTCTAATAGTGTATTAAGACATGTCAATTGATTATTACAATAATAATCATAATAGATATTTAATAATGACATTACTTTTATTTCTTTTAAGTTCAAATCTGGTGGATTCATATTTTGTTTTAATAGAATCCAATCTGATAGATTTTTCCATCGTTGTTCATCGAGATTTTCTTTAACACAATTCTTTAAAATATGTTTAAGTTGTTCATATGATTGATGTAATTTTGGAAATATTGATGAAGTATTATTTGTTGATAATGTAAATTGTATTTGATGACATAATTGAAGATATTTATTATTTTCTATTGTTTGTTTCATTCCTAATAGATGAGATAGAGTAGTTGCCCATTGACTATTAAGACGTTGTATATGATCTGATTTTAATAAATTGAAAAGAAAATTCCATGATCGTTTAGATATAATAGTTGAGAGAAATATTTGAAGATATTGATTAAGTTGAATTGTTTCTCGATCAACGGATAAGTATGTATTAATGATTGCTAATGTAATACGACTAATTATTCGTTGATCATCAGGAGATACATCTGTTTGACATAATAATAAAGCAGTTAATCGTAATAGAAAATAATCTTTTAATTTTTTGAAGATTTCAGCAGCCGATTTTGGACGTTTTATTCTCATATTTTGTAACTTTGATTGCATAATTTTATTTACTAATTCGCATTTAATTGTTTCATCATTAAAATATCGTTGAAGATGAAAAAAGAATAAGTCAATTAATGGTTGTCGTTGATTATCATTAGTAAGTATTGATGGATGATATGGTAATTGATAATCTTCAAGATGATTATCATCTTGTAGACATTCGATAATCAATGGTAAAAGTATTATAAGACGTTCCCAACAATCGAATGTTATTCTATTATGTCGTATAGATTCAACATATAAACTAGCTAATTTATCAAATAAAAGTTGTTTCATAGGTAATGATAATCGATATGTTGATTTATTTAAACCTTGAAAAAGATTTTCGATTTCTTCTTTACATGATTCTGTAGATGATTTTAACATTGAAATTATCCATTGTTGTATATCAATCATTAATGTTGAATTATTAATATTTTTATTTTCGAAATATAACTCAATAGAATCAATTATCTTCGGTAATAATTTTAAATAAAAAGATTTTCCTTGATTTCTATTTAGAATATTATTATTATTAATATGAACAAGATGTATGTCTTTCAATAGATTTGATACAAGTTCTTTTGCTTGAGGAATATTATCATTGATAAGAATAAAATATGCTAAATTCATAAATTCAATTTGTTCTTTTATTTCAATAAGTTGTGTACGTTGTAGAACTTTATCTGATGGATAATATTTTGAAATAAATGTATAAATATGCATCCATGTTTCACTTGTGTTATTATTTGAACATAATTCACAAAGATTTTTCCATAAATTATCAAACATAAATCGAAATAATTTTTCACGTACTTCTGAACGTGTTACATGATTATCGAGTAATAGATTATCATAAAATGATTGTTTTGAATCGAGTCGATCTGTAATTCGACAAGCTGAATACAAAGAAAAGAGATCATTTTGATCATATTCAAATGATGTATAAACATGAGCAAGAAGCCAAACATATTTATTCGAAGATTCTTCTAAAGATTGTTGATCATTATCATCAACGAGTAATAACCAACGTGAAACAAATTCGATTGTTTTTTGACATTGAATAAGATTTTCATCAAAATTTTTCTCTACAATTGTACAAAAAGTTCGAACAAGATCATTTGAATAAGAATTAAGTATATGTTCATTAATAATATCAGTTAATATTTTATCATTTAAAATTGATTTTATTAATTCATATCGAAATTGTTCAAATGTATATTCAGTCGTTTGATTTTCATCATCATAATTATAATCCATTGTAGTCACTGATGGAACTGCATAATAATGTTGACGAGGAACATCATCTTGTTCTAAATATAAAGTAAAATATTATATATGTTTTTGGAGATTTCTACTAAATAAGAATAAATACAAACCTTTTTGTTCGGTTTGTTTAAGAATTCGTGTTAGTTTGATATCTTCAGCACAAGATTTAATTCGTTGATGAAATAAATAATAGAGTGGAGTTTGTGGAATACAAGTATAATGAGTAACAAGTTGAAATATGCTTTGATTTGTTGAAGAAATATTATCTTTATTATTATCAACTATTGCAAATGAAGAATAATCGATTAATTCTAACATTGAATCATATCCATTTGTTATATTTGATAATGTTAATAAAGTTTCTAAACCATAATCATTAACAATAAATTTAAATACATTTGAAACAAAATTTGTAAATGAAATACGAGTTTGTGATTGAATAGATTCAACAAGACCATCAAATCGTTTACCACATATAATATCTTTTGATATTTGATAAATTAAATTATAAATTTTTTTTGATGATTCTTTTTTATTTGATAAATTATCATGATAAATAGTAACAATACGATTTTGTAATTGCCTTGATTGTTGAAGAATTTGTTTTAAACATTGTACACATCGTAATGTATTTGTTTGACGTTTATAAAATTCATAAGCTAATTTATTTTTAAACATATCTGCTGGTAATTCTTGTAGAGCTATTTGAATTCGTGAACAAAAATCCCATAAACAATCATCGAATAATATATTTAAATCACATACAGTATTATCGAATGATTCTTGTTGTTGTTGTTGATCGGAAGTTGATGATAGAATTTGTAACATTTTTTGAAGATGAAATGCACTACCTGGTGCACAACTATCAAAGAAATAAAAATCCCAATTATGTAAGAAAATTGATGGAAAAGATGATTGATGATATTGTTCTTGAGCTGGTGAATGTATCAACATGAGAAAATATTTATCTTGTTTTTTATTGAGTACATTGCATGAATATTCGGTTTTATCAATTAATTGTCGTACGTATGGAATATGTAAACGTTGTTGAATAATTCGTGCATTGATTATAACAATTAACACTTTCTTTTTCTCGTCTTTTTCAAATATTTGAAATCTTTCTTCGAGTTCCATTGAATTTTCAATAACCGTCTATAAGAAATAAATATTTTATAGTTTGTTTTTTTTTTGAACAAAAAATTGAACTTAAGCTTGTCTCCTTAATAAAAAGTCAATCTTCATGAAAAGCATGGGAAGATCTGACGGCTTACCTGAATTTCGCCAATAAGACTTTCGCCAACTGGACATTCGTCAATGGCGAAAGTCATGAGGATATATTGGCGAAAGTGCAGTGGACTCTCGCCAATTAAAAAAGTTCGATGGACTTTTACCATTTGTCACAGAAGAATATAAATGTTGGATATGAGCGATGAAGGTGGGTACCAGAATATATCTTGGTGCTGTCTGTTAACCTACATGTTACACTGGCGAATGTCCTATTGGCGAAAGTCTTATTGGCGAAATTAAGGAATCCCGATCTGACATGCTCTTTCAAACAAAAAGAATTAAGCCTATAGAATGATAGTTTACACAGAATTTCAGGTTTCCAAATAAGCTATTTTGTACTCTTATTAATTGAATGCCGCGGCGCCTAAATTGATTGTTAAGGAGAAGGCTTAACTAGTGTCCTACAACCAGATTGGATATCTATAGCGCGGCAATATATGACATCTCGACCTTTTCTAAATAATTTTTCCTTTGTCAAACTGTTTTATATATAAAAAACATATGAATGAAAATCGAATTCGTTTACTTAACGAAATTGATCCGATTTTAGAAGCAGAAAAATAAAGAACTCACTAGATTGAGTATATCAATATTTTCACTGTTATCAGTATATTCATTATAATTTAATCCAGCAAATAGTTCATAATTTGATTGTTCATTGAGACCAATTATATAAGATGATGTTCGTGTAAATATGATGACTTTTCTTGTTATGTTGATATCATTGAATTGTTGTAAATAAATTATTGTTTTGAAAATCAATCAATGGATTTGATATGAATATTTGAATAAAATTTTCCATATGAAAATGTTCTTGTTGATGAAAATAATTTGTACATAACCAACGTGCAATTTTATCTTCAAATGTTGGTAATTTAAGAATAATTGATTCAGGTGAAACAAGTTGAATTAATTTTGATATAACTGAACGTAAAATACATAATTGAATATCACTTGAATTTTGTTCAATAAATGATTTTGATTTAATATTTAANCGCTGCTGGTGATTGAGCTTCTTGCATGATTTGAGGTGGAACAATTAATTGTGGTCCACAATTCATAACTATTTTCTTTGATGAATTTTCATCATCGTCTTCATCAGACGATTGTGTATAAGGATGATAGATGTTCGGTATTTCAACTTCATCTTCTTGATCATTATCATCGATTCCCATCAATTTTGGTTTAATTCGTTGCAGAAATTTATTCAATAAATTTGGTTCATTTTCTAAAATATCACCAATAATAGTTGTCAACAACCATAGACTTGTACGTTCGAATATTCGTGGAGCAACATTATCATAAGTTGGAGCATTGATTATATTTGAATTTAATAATACTGAATAGAATTTGAGAAGAAATGTTTTTCCAACACCAGTATCACCTTCAATAATCAATGATAATCTAGTTAATTTACGTTCATGAACATGAAAAAGTTTATAAGTAAAATTTTCAGTCAAAATAAATTTTGTTTCATTGATAATTTTTTCAAAATCATCATATTTTATATCGATTAACCATGATAAACATTTAGCAAAATAATCTTTATTTTTAAAATCTGGTCCAAGTGAAGGATTTTTATTATTAAAGACATGTTTTAAATCTGTTGAAACATTATTCCAGCCATCATGTAATAAATGTAAAGAAAAATTAGGATCATAAATAAGATAATTTCGAGGATAATTACTACGTCGAAAATCAATTTGAGCAAGAGATTTTGCTTCATTAATCATTTGTTTCATAACTGATGAACCAAGATGTTCAAAAGCCATATTAAAACGATAATAATGACCAGTAAAAAATCGAACACGACGATACATAAATTTCGTAAAAGAAAGTTCAGAAATTTTATTTCTTGGTATTTCAGGAGCATATTTTTGTATACAATTATATATATAATCACGACATTCATCTGAATTCGTCAATTCTTCGAAATCAACAGGTTGTTCTATGTCCGTATTAGTTATTGTTAGACGACGATCAATTGTTCGATTTTCATAAGCTTTTAAAAATCGCGCAACAAGTTCTTCTTCTTGTCCAATAAATAATCGATAATTTTCATCAGTAATTTCTTCTAATGTATATGGAGATATAATTGATAATATAGGTAAAATTCGATGAAAATTATCTTTAATTGTCATACGATATTTATCTGTATGAGGAATTTCAATAAAAAATTTCCATTGTTGATTTTCTGGTAATGAAAATGTAAGACCAGTACTTGTATCAGTCAATGATCCACAAACGAAAAGTGATAAGAAAGTACGATTTAATTCTTCGAATGGTGCATGAATTGATATATTAAAAGAAACTGATGGACTATCATTTGATATTCTTGAATCAAATGATAGAAATGAACTTATCAATGATGATAAATTTAATTTATCATTTATACTAAAGCAAGATGTATCTTCAGTTTTGTATTTTGTATTAATACAATGAGTTTTTCCTATTCCAGCTTGTCCATAAATAATTTGAATCTGTGGTTGTATCCAATTATTTTGTTGAAATAATCGAATTAATTGTGTATAAGTTTGACTAGAATCTCGATATTTCGGTGTGATATGAAATGGTCTTAAACCTTTTCGACTTATTGTTAATTCTCGTGAAAAATAATAGACAGGTCCATGAGCTTGTTCATATCGTGTCAATTCATCTTGTTCATTTAATAGAAATTCTCGAAGACGATGATGCATTTTATCAATATCCATAACAACAAATATCAAATAATGAAATGTTCGTACTCGTAAAAAAAACAAACGAATATCATCTTCACTAGCAATAGAACACCATAATATTTGATAAACAGATGGTAATCGATCATTAAATAGATTTAATAAAATACAACACGTGTCCATATCAAGATCATGTTCAAGTGGTATTTTCTCTGATGTATTATATCTTATCATATTTGATGTAACGAGATATTGTTGATTTTCATTGATTAATGGATTTTTTCTAAATAATTCTCTTCCATTATTGAATAATTCTTGTAGAAATTGAGATAATTTTTCAAGACTTGTTTCAACATTAGAATTTGATGGAATCTTATATGTTTCATAGAGATGTAATATATTGGTTTCAGATAAATCACAATCATGCATTTTAAGCGAACGTAAATAATGTGTTAAACATTGAATTGTTAGTTTTAATTCCTTTTCTTTATTATTGATGACATCTTTCGATAATGAGAATTTTTCTAGAAAATGACATTTTATTTGATTTTGTGTTGTTGATGTTGTTAATAAAATAATAAGAATCATTATTTGACGATTTGAAAATAAATTCAATAAACGACTATCTTGTCTATATCGTTCTAAATTTTTAATCCACATCTTATAAGCAGTTTCTAAAGCACGATAGATTAATTCTAAATTTTCTGTACGAGTCTTAACGATACGTTTTAATCGATCTTCTCTAATACGATGATCTTTTCTGAGATCCGAAAGTATAGTATCGATTTCACCTATTATTAAATAATACAAACAAAAAAAAAGATAATTATTATTTTTTTTTTAATTTTTACCGGTTCGATCATGTATTTCATAGTTCTCTTCTCTAAGTTGATAATCTGGATGACCATTCATTTCTAATTTAATAAGTATAAGATAAATATTTTCAACGATTTTTAATAGTTTTAATTGTTCATTCAATAATATTTTTCTATAAAACATATTTTCTTGTAGATCAACATTACAGAATGTTAATTGACGTTTATGATCATCGATATCAGACATTGACAATGTAAATTTGAGTTTTTCAGATTTGTATTGTTCACAGTCATCATGTTCAGAATTATTTCTATGCAATGGTTCACTTTTTATTTTATCAATTGAATAGATCATTTCAAAATAAGATTGTTCATTCATTAAACGTCTAAGACATATTTTTACTTTACCAGTTTTATATAAATGTTCCATTGTTATAAGAGCATTATCTAATACTGTTGTTTCTTCTGCTGATAACCACATATTTACAATTTGTACATTTTCATTGACAACTATATTAAAATAAAAATAAACATAATTGAATATTATGAGAAAAATCTTTTAAATTATCAGACTTTTTAGTTTAAAAATCATCTCATTACTTTACTGATTTTGATAGAATGTATAACTAATCTTACTTTGCATATGATTGAGAGAATTTTCTTCAAAATTTGATAATCCAGCAATACGATTAACAAATTCATCAAAATTATTTGCTTTGAGAACAAATGGTTCGCATAATGCATAGGCAATGATCCATGAATTGAGAATCATATTATTACGTTCTTGTAGTTGAAATTGTGTTGTTAAATTATCTCGTAATTCTTGAAATCGACGACGTCCATGAGATGAATATAAATCAGATTTTTTCATCATTTGAACAACATTTGAACATTCAAGTGCCATTTTAATTAAATGTAAATGTTGACTTGATAAATTTTGAAATTGTCGTTTTACAATTTCATATGTACGTGTTATTTCTTTCAATGAACAATTTTCATCACATAAACGTTTGAGATGACCAATTAATTGATCATCACAATCAATCGGTAGTATATCAAATGTTTCAATACAATTTATAATTATATTTATATGACTATAATATTGATAGATTTGAAGCCATTCACAAACTTGTTCGATTTCTTTCTCAGTAGGACTATTCATTGTCGTATTAACAAATGATGATTGTTTTCTAATTGCTCTTTCATCAGAAGAACGATTTGTGAAAAGTTTTTTTACTTCTTCTCTAACATGAATATTTTTATCACAGAAAACAGTTTTAAGATCAGTCATATCTCTTAAACTTACAGTACCATTCAATAGATTATCGATAAATGTAAATACTTTGTCAAGTAATTGACTTAATTCTCCTTCTTTAATTATACGTATCGATTGTGTATAATATTGTTGATAGAACATATTAAATATACCATGAAATAGATGAGAAGTTGATAATGTTATTTGTGTTATTCGATACCATATAGTACGTGGAGCTTGAAATTGTTGATTGTTGATAATAATTATTAATTGACCAGCTTCTTGTGTTTCAAATTCTCCTTGCAGAATATGTTTATCAATAGAAATCTTTTCCTTACAAAATAACACTTGAGTATCATCATTTAGTTCACTTGTTTGATATTCAATTTGTATATTGCATGGATGTTTTTCACTAGCAATACACCATTGAACACTTTGACGATCATTGATAGGAATTATATGTTTGAAAATATGTCTTGCATTTACCGTGAATGAATTATTAGGTTGAAATCGTTTTAATTCTCGAATATAATTTTCAGATATAATTTGATTATTCAATGTACCAGAATCAATTAATTGAAATGATGTTAAACAATTGACTAGATAACAAAGTCGTTGAAGATCATTAAATGGTCGAAGAAGTTTTAATGTTCTCTCAACTATTGCTTTCATTTGAATCATGTTGATTGATGAATTATTTCTTGTTGTACATATATCATTAAATAATTGAGCAGTTCCATCGACATTCCAATTTTTCAACCATTCGACAACATGTATAAATACTAATAGAAATTTGTCAAACCATCGAAGCCATGCATTTGCTTGTTCAATGAATTGCTGTACATATTGTTCTTTTGTATCTATCTCTATTATATTTATATCCTTTGGTATAGGTGATATAATAAATTCAATCTTTTGTGTAGTAGGTGGAAATTTATATTGCTGTGGATTTACGGATGTAATTATTTTTCTTATATCCATACAATGAATAAAACAATAGACGATTGATGAATCTAATAGATCACGATACTTTGAACAAGTTCCTATTATAGAATAAAACAAATAAAATTATTTAAATGAAAATGATCTATGTAAAATTCATCAGTATCAAACTTGAAAGTTGAATTCAACTTTTAAATTCGACATATATGAAAAAAGTGAAAAATATCTTAATTCAAATAGAACTTGCCTTGTAATAGTAAGATATGTTGAATTGATATTTCAGCATTTTGAATAAATTCATCGATTTGTTTTGTATCCATTTGATGTAATTGTTCTTGTCGAGCATGTAAAATAAAATCGATAATAATATTAATATTCGGAAGTGATAAAATAGATTTTGTATATTTAACAATAATAAGCTCAAATAGATTGATAATCAATATGATTGTTAAAGTATCATCAATATTATAAACATTATGTTTGACCATGTTCATCCATTCATTTAATTTAAAAAGCATTTCATTCGTAGTCTCAGCTTTTGATTTGAGAATACTCAAATGTGTTAATCTTCTCCAAATATAAATCGTCCAACGATTATTTTGATGATTATTACATAGATAATAGTAAACATTTTCATTCAAATATCGCACAAAATCTTCGGGAATAATTAGAAGATAGTCTTGTAACCATTCGTCTTGAATAATGAACATAGGATCATTCTTCTCACATAAATCTTGATCGAAATCATTTAGTTTATTAAACAGACTTTTGATTTTATCAGCTATATTCGTTAATCGAGTGTCATTTTGAAATAGTAGACGTCGAATAATGAGTAAGCAAGATGGTTGCTTTAGATCATGTGTTAATGACATTTCAAGACCGATATTTAGGAATTGTTTTAAATGTGATTCAGAATACCGATGAGAATATCGTTCTTCAGTCAATTGTTTGTTGATAAAAGCATCAAATATGCTTTCAAATACTCTTAGAAAACGCGGAGGATATTCATTTTTTATTTTCGCTATACATTGTTTAGATAATATTGCGTAGCGCAGAAAATTGTCGATTGATGTATTCATTGTACGAATAGTAAATTTTGAAATGAGATGTTTTTGTATAATTTCATTCAATTCACTGTTTGTGCATATGTAAAAAAACATAGTCCATAAATCATCAAGATCTACACTTGAAGCATAAATTGTAAAATAAACATCAAAGATACGATCATGACGACCGATTAGACTAAATAAGTCACCAACGTGTTCAAATTTATAAAATTTCTGTTTAATACCGTTCTCGAATAATTCTCGGTATTGTTCGAAAAAATCTTCAGTTTTTAAATTCAAAATTTTGCAAAGTCGTAGAAAAATTCTAAATGGCGATTCTTGAGAATGTTTCAATGGATGATTTTTAAAAATAAGTTCAATAAATCCCAACATATCAAGTGGAAATTCTCGAAATGCTAATTCATAATCAATGTAACTAGAAATAAATTCTTGTATAGTAAGTCCAAAATTTTGTATATTCGATATAATATGTTTCCATAGTAGATGATCATGATCATCTATCAAAATAGATGATTGAAATGATAATTTACTCAAGACAAAGAATATATTCATTGTTTGTTTATCGATTTTTGTTATTGACATCAAATGTTGAATCATATTTATTTTTATCAATAAACCTTTATCTTTTGCACAAAGATTCGGTTGTAAACCTTTATTTATCATAAATACTTGAGACAATGATTCGAATAATTTTTCTTTCAGTTGTTTAACATTGCCTTCAATTGCCCACGTCAAATAAGCTGTTCGTTTTACTATTATTAAATATTCTTCGATTCGACGATACATATATAAATATGAATCGATACGATTTGAAAATTTTTTAACCGCTTCAGGCGACGAAAGACTTGTCATCGTACATTTAATAATGAAATCGACATCAGTGGAAAATGCTTTATTTCCATGGATTTCATTTGTTTGATCAAAGTTTTCGAAACGTGCCAAAACTGAATCAAGAAATAACTCACCTTCACTATCTTGATCGAAAACATGACCAGCTAGAACACATGGTTCACTTAACTTCTCTCGACCAGTGTATTTTTCGTAGAGCTTCTTTATGAAACCCATTCAATTGAATATTATTGATTAAATATCAAAATCTAAAATGGAATCATAAAACTCTATTAAATGTATTATCAGTTCTTGTAGTTAACTGACAACTTGAATATTTCATCACTTAATTACGCACACAAAACTGATTACTACGCATGTACAAATCAAATTTTATTTTAAAACACTCAACTTGTGGAAGAGTGACGGCAAAAAAATACGCTGTAGCAATTTATAATACAATGAGTATGTCAGAAAAAAACCCACAACGAGACAAATGTCTATCGTATTTTTTTTTACCTTTTCTTTCCTTCTCGTCGAATGCAAGAAAGAAAAATAAGACGGAGTCCGTTTTTTTTTTCTCTATAGCAAGAAACATGTAGCACATTGTTGGTAATTTCTAAACGAAACAAATATGATTTGTAGACTTTTCTCAAAAATAATGCCTTTTATTTTATTTCAAATTGAATCATAATTGAAAAAGGAAATTTCTTCAATTTTCACGAGCAAAACAAAAGAAAAATTCTCGTATTTTGTGCATACAACATAAACAATGTTTTGCACATTTAATTACGAATACTATTATCTGTCCGTTACTATTTACGTCTGATCTAAACTTAAGACAAAAAAAAAACATCGTTTTTCACATCCGCCGCCAGATACGACCTTTGCTTACTCTTTTTTTTTTGTAAAATGTCGCGACACTGACGTGAGAGAACGAGATATTTTTATCACACGACTCCTTTCTATAAGGTTTTTATCAACTTGTTATGATTGCTATGGCTCTCACATCGTTTCACGTTCCATTTAATTTTAATAGAAAAAGAAAAGAAGAAGCAAATATTTCACTTATATTATAAGAGAAAAAGTAAAAAACAAAATAGTTGAATATTTGTTGGAGGATGAGCAGGAAACTTTATTTTCTATGCGTTTTTTTAAACAAACTAAAACCATTATGTTGGAAAGACAAGTAGGAAGGTTGAGTCGTTCCTTTTGAAATGGCTGAGTTTCGTTGAAACAAATTAGTGCCAATGTCGTACTCCTTTTGCCTTTTTTCTTTTTATTTTATCGTATCTCTCGTTACGTAGAGCAGTTCCTTTTATTCTTTTTTTTTTCCCTCTTTCTCTCTTTCGCCCTCTTTATTATATAGAGTCAGTTGGGGTAATTCGGATCAGTACCCATGCATTCAAAAATGTGAAATTAACGCGTGGCAACAATTTGTCCTTTCCTTTCTTTTGATGCGTTCCGCACCATCAAAAATGTCTGAATTTTCGCGTTTTAACAGTCGATATTTTTTTACATCCAACGCGGTTATAACGGGTGAAGCACGAAACGTTTAAACGCATTCCTATATAAACGCGCAATAACGCGAAAATTCGGACATTTTTGACTGTGTACAATGCATTNGGCCGGACCATAATTTTCAGGGGGGGCAATAAGCACTTTTTCGCCTAAAAACACTTGTTTTCATGGCGTTCTTCTTAAGTCCCAGCCAAAAAAATTTTTTTACGGGGGGCAATTGCCCCCTCTCGCCCCTATGCCGGCCCGCCCATGGCAATACCCACGCCCCACTCTGAATTTCCCTATCTTGAGCTTTTATCATTTCTTAAATTGTTAGCTTATCAATAAATTTCGTATATTGAGTTTTATTCGATATAATTTACGAAAATATTACCTCAGCTGTGGTTCATTCTCAAAATCTCGTATGAATTTAGTTAAGATTTTAAGAACTGTTTCTCAGATTTTACTATCCTGAATGTTAGGATGTGAATATCGCAATCTGATATTCACATGTTAATGTGTCGTCTTTTCTAAGCATTATATTGTTTGTCATAAATATCATTTGCTAAAGTCATCTTCTTTCATCAATGTTTCGAATATGTGAATTAAAATCTAGAAAACTTTTTTAAATAATTATTTTTCAGTCCTAGAAAACACCATCATGATCGTATGAAACAAATAGTTTCGAAAGCATTTGTTTTTATGATTGCTCATTTATTTGAATGCTTTTTACGAGAAATTCTTTATATAACTGATGTAGCTCTGTATTTAAAAATTTCGTGAATTTATTCCTTTTTTTAGAATTATGATTGAATCTTTGAATAGAAATTTTTAATTAAAATCAAATCAAATTGATCAATTATTTGTAAATTGTTTCTATTTATTTAAATGAAAATATCTTAGATAATAAATCGTGTTCTCAAGATTAACAAAACATGAAAAAAAAGTGTGGAGTATGAATATGAAGATAAAACTTATGCGCACTTTTTTATTAAAGGAAAGTTACTGCAATTATGAATACGTATTTTGACTTTTATTTGAAGATCAATTGTACAATGGCTTCATCAGTATGTCAATGCATATTTGAGATTTTGCCTGTCTAAACGAATAAAGCCAATAAATCATGATTATTAATAGCGATGGGTTAACTTGACACGTTTGTGACTACTAAATACGTTCACTCGCTTATTCATGCTCTTGCTAAGCCACACGTGTACTGCACTGACTATATGACCGCATTCACAGCCGCCTCATGAGTACCACTCTAGCTCATATAAAAAAATCTCTTTCCGTTCGTGCAACCCATTGAATAATCTTATCCGCGAAATTCTTTCCATTATATGGGGGTCGAAATGTGAAACTTGATAAATGTTTGACTCGCTCCAGTATCATCACGGCGTCTTCCATATACGTGATTTCAGTATCAAGACGTTTTATATGGCAAGGCAATTTCAAACAGATAGCATTGAGAGTTATCAACTTCATCCTCTTGGAACGATTACAATTTATTTTTATTGAACGAAGATGCCATGCTCATTTGAACAGAGTATCAATTTTGATATTCAGACTCGTATCGAACATACACTTACATTGTAAATACAAGTGTTCTATTTGGAGATTCGATAGATTAAGAAGTGTTGGAAGATGTTCAGTTGAGCCAATAGGCCATTTTCGATCAATCTTCAGTGCAAGCTCTGTTACATTTCAAAATAGATAATCTTTTTTGGGATTTGTCTAAGAACAAAAATATGTAATCTTTAAAGAAATGGAAATACGAAGTACGAAAATTGTTCTAATTTACAAAAATATCATGAGAACAGTAAAGATCGTTTTGCTATGAAATTAAGATGTCTTTTTGAAGAATTTCATATTTAAATGAAACAAATTTGCTTAAAAAGTAATCTATATTGATTTTAAAAATTTAAAAGCTTTGTTCTAAACTATATGTTCGAGTGCCCTTTATCGAGTATTTTACAAGCTAAAAAATCTTCGTAATAAGTTAGAGAACGGAAAAAGAAAAATTATTCTTGACACTTCCATAGGAAAAAACCTCGTTTGGGACGATCACGATGAACTACATAATATACATCAAATTCAGATGCATATTTTTGTACTAAAATCTATTGTCATTGATTACTTCTCACTTTACTACAATTTAGTTAAAATTTTCCATGATTATGCACCGTTCTGGTTGGGTAGATTTTGAAAATCTTTCAAAAAATATAACTTCTCTCATTTGAGTACATCTTACAAAACACAACGTAATAAACCAATATACCGATTTTACAATTCTGTCATACATTTGTTGTTGTATCCGAATTGAACAGAATTAATGAAACGAAACATAATCCTACACTAATAAAGTACTTAGTGCATCTATACATAGATTTCATTTAGAGTCCATATTTTGCTCACTACATCTGAAACTTTTTCTTTCGCATAAAGATTACAATCAGACAAATTAATGAACTAAGTTACAGAGTACAGAATTTTTTGATTTAGAGAAACTACTGCAACGAAAAATTTCTGAAATTCGATATAATTGAAATCTTCATGTGAGCAAAGTTTTAGAGAAAGAGAATTGAAAAAATACAATTTTCTTGAAGAGCTAAATCCTTCATAGAAGAATTAGCCAAATATTCAATATTTCGGTTACAAGACCATGAGTTATCTATTTTGATAAGGCTATAATTTTTATTAAAATATTCGCCAAACCCTTCAGCAACAATTAAAATCTTATAAAATCAATGCGTACCAAAAAAACTTAGTAGCAATCTATACAAGTCTAAAAGAAATATTTAGCAAAACTCATTTTTTGACGTTATTTGATTCAAATTTAAGGATAATCGATATGCATTGACGATTATCGTTGTATTTATATTGAATACAGATGTAATCTTCAATCATATTCGTTGTATTTGCAGTCACATGTCACAAGCCAATGTTTGATTTCGAGCCAGAATAGTGTTCTAAATGATGCAATCAGTGATTCTATAGTAATAATATGTGGAGTATAGTATGTATCACTAGTGAACCAGAATTTGAACTTATTTAATAGAGGTAATTTCATTTCGTTGAAATTTTCTCATCGAGAACCATCAAATAATAAAAGATCAGTTAAAGATGTCACACCAATTAGTTGAAGATGCGTTAGCTTAGGTAAAAGTGAAAGCAGTGATTCACTATTGTTCATTGTTATTTCAGAAGTGCTGTTTAACGAAAGTGAATTTAAATGAATTGACTGTGTAACAACAGGCTCCTCGAATCAACTTCCATAAACATCTTTCAGACTGAATGTTCGTAGTTGAGGTAAGTGACCAACGATGGAGTAAACTTTATGCCAACTACACTCTCAAAAAATTATCATGCGCTCCAATCTACATGCAATTGGTAATTGTATTTTATCGAGATCTCAACTGTTTGCTTTGAATTTGAGTTTGCGAAGATCATTGTGCAATACAATAGATGATAACGATGCGCTTATGCTGTTGATATAAGGGTAACGAGCTGATATTGAGAATGTTGTAAGGGAATATTGCATGATACATTTTTTAAATTCATTCATTGCTTCATCTTTTACATTAAATAGAATCAATGAGCACAATCGAATGAATTGGTCAATACAAAAATGAGAAAGAAATAATCGTATTTGATCAGGTATCTGCATTTTATCCGAAAGCGTGAGTGAAATAACATTTTTAGGATCAATAATACGTGCCATGAGAGGTAGATCAGAT